CCATTAAAATTAATATACAATGGGATAGGACCTATATATGGGTCTTTACGGAGTAGTAGCAGTTTATGTGCTAAATATCTAAGCTCTTTAAAAATTATTGCGATCTCTAACATACTTCAATAGACAGACAGACGGACATGGCTAAAACGACATAGAATTTGATTCTAATCAAAATATACAAACAATGAGTTCTCCGGCGAACATTTTGAGGTCTTGCAAATGGACTGACATATTTAGCTGATGCTGGAGGTTATATAAAAATCATTAAAACTCCAAGTCAATAAATGGAATTTAAACCCATAAAACAATTCATTTACGAAAGATAATGCGCCTGCGGTATGTAAATTTTCAGACGCACTTAAAAACCCGTGGAACTTTTTTACTTAACTCATAGATATCAATGTCATAACACAATAATCAAAGTGGTGCAAAGGTTTACAAAAAATACCACTTGTTGTTGTTTCATTTTAATCATCGCATACCACAAAACGTGATTGTTTTACACTCTGTACTAATTGCCTTTCTAAGTACATTTGAAATAAATCACGTGAAATTGCAGTATGTGTGAACATTATTTATTACGCTGGTTTAGACGAAGTCATTGCATTTATTTATAGTGATATGGTTAATGACCCAAACATGTGACAGCAGCTCTTTTTGTGGAGAGCACCAATGGGTCCCATCTTCGGATTTCATTTAGGCTTGGTAAAGTTTAGTTCAAATCGGACATCCGATTCGCCTGACATTGGATTTTTAAATATTGCAAAATTTTGATCATTTGTGGGGGAGTTTCCGGATCGAATGGAACAATGGGTCCAACTTTCGAACATCATCTAGGATTGGTAAAAATAATGGTTGTACAAAGTCTGTTTGAAATCGAATAGTCCGTTCGTATATTATAAAATTAATTTTTAGCACAATGTTGACCAGAGTTATGTGGCGGAGGAAGTACCAGGAGTGGACCGATATTACCCATTTTCGAACTTTAACTAAGTTTGAAAGAAATATTACGATGTGCACAGTTTGGATGAAATCGAGTACTCCATTTATGCGCAACAGCTGGCATTACAGACAGACTGATGGACATTTGTAAATCGACTCCAAATTATCCGAAACGGATAATGGTACGCAATATTTCGATGAGGCACATTTTTGAAGTATCAACGTGTATATACTCCCATTAGCCAAAAGGTATAAAAAATGTGGTGGTATCATGACATTGGAGATATGAACCTCCAAGAAATCGAAATCGAATTGGTTAGAAAAAAAACGATAGGGTATTCTAAATTCCTTAAATCGATTGGATTCTTACTTGGGTCTATATCTATAGATGGACAGACACAAAATGTTTATATTCACAGAGCCTGTATTTTATCATTGAAGAAAATTGAAACTTCCTAGAAATCTGTTCAATTCTAAAATCGAATTAGAATATAAGAAAAACATTTTCGGAGCGTGGTTTTTTAACCCGCATACTCCCGCATTACGAAATCGGCACTTGAATGAGATTTTGTCGTCATATGACAACACACAAAATGTGTGTCCAATAGTCTGAAGAGATATGAAACTGTAATTGTGGATTATAGGACTGACTGATTGACTGACTTAACGATTCATCAACGCACAGACGAAGCAGCTCAAGCAAGAATCTTGAAATTTGGGGTGAGGGTCACTTTTGGTCCAAAGTTGTCAGATAAGGCTGAGTTTTTGCAAATTCCTACTAGAACAGCACGAACAGTACAAAATATGGTAGCATTTGTATTTGGCGAACCGGTGGAGCTAGAACTCTGAAATTTGGATTTAGGGTCATTGATGGAGTGTAGGATAGATGTACCAAAGAGTTTTTGGAAATGCAAACTTTAAGTATAAGAAATGTACTAAAATTATTACAATTTCATGGCATATGAACGGATAGCGCAAAAAACCTTTGGAGTGTAAATTAAGATTGAGAAGTAGGTTCCATTTAAAGAAATTGTTTTGAAAGCGTGTGCTCATGTGTACGAAAGGTATTATATGGTACTATATTTGGTGCAATTTTTTTTTTTTTTTTTTTTTGGAGGTACAAATCGTGCTGGAATCCTACAATTTGAAAGTAACATTACCGTCGGAGTGTAGGATTGTACGTAGTTTTGGAAATTTGTTACTTATGTGTACGAAAAGTACTAAATAGCACTATAATTGGTACAATTTGGATTTGGGTGAACCGATAGAGCGGGATCAATAAAATTTGGTCTTGATCACGGTAGGGTTGAAGGATTGGGGTCAGGATTCAGTTTAAGAAATTAATACTTATGGGTAATAAATGGTACTAAATCTGGTACAATTTGAATCTTAGATTAGCTAGCATCATGAAAAATGAAATCAGGACCACTGTTGGGGTATGTAGGAAGTTTTAGAAATAGAAATTTGTACTAAGTGTACTAAATTTGGTACAATTTAAATTGTGGGTGTAGAGATAGAGTTGGAATCCTAAAATTTTAATTTAGAATCACTGTGGAGGTGTAGGATTGGGGTATGTAGGAAAATTGGTACTACTATGTACAAAATTTAGTACGATTTGTTTTGTGGGTGAACCGATAAAGTTGGATCGATAAAGTTGAACCGATAAAGTTGGAATCCTGCAATTTTGAATTAGGAAATTTAGTACAATCGGGGTGAAGTAGGAAGTTGTGGAAATTCGTACTACTATGTACTAAATTTGGCACAATTTGAATTGTGAGTGAACCGATAGAGTTGGAATCCTGAAGCTTGGATTTAGGATCACTACGGGAGTGTAGGTTTGTGGTAAGAAGTAGGTTTTAGAAATTCGTACTACAGCGTACTAAATTTGGCACAATTTGAATTGTGGGCGAACCGATAGAGTTGGAATATCGAAACTTCAATTTAGGATCAGTGTGGGGTGTAGGTTTGTGGTAAGAAGGAGGTTTTAGAAATTCGTACTACTGTGTACTAAATTTGGTACAATTTGAAAAATGCAATTTGAACCATTTAGGGATCAATGAAATTTGAATTTGGAATCATTGTGTAGATATCTTAGAAGGGTATTCAAAAATATTAATATATTTGAATGTTTGGCAAGTGACAAAATAATGTGTGCTAAGTGGAACTAAATTTATAAAATTTATTCCAAAAAATGCAATTTGAAGCCATTTAGGGTCATTTCAATTTTGAAGCACATGTAGTGACAAAATTTGAATTTGTGTGAACCCTTAGAGCTCAAATCATAAAATTTGGTACTAAAATAAAATAATATGTTAAAACATATTTAAATATTTGTGCAAATCGAAATATATATAGGGACTTTGGTACACTATTTTCATTAAATCGGACGAAAATATATACGGGAGCAATATCTAAATCAGAACCGATTTTTCCTAATTTCAATAGGGTTTGTCCTTGGGTCAAATAGATGATCTGTGCCAAATTTCATCTAATTCGAACTATAAATTGGACCTGTACTTTGTTTACAATTTAAAATACCTATTACAAACATATGCACAAAGACATAATACCTTGTACCACAGTGTGGTGAAGGGTGTAAAAAAAGGTTCAAAGATAATCTATATAGGTGCATTTCTTGTGGTATCTTCCAAACATCACAATGTGAAGAAAACAGCAAATGGCATCGAATTTTTTGTAGTCTAACATTCCTCTCCGGGTCAGTTATCCAATAAAAGTACTTAGCTTTGTCAGAAATATGTAATGGTTAGGCTATAAAACATCCAATCTGGTCCACTATTCCCTTACCATTTCACTCTTTTCTACAGTCTTCATTTCATGTACTTAGGATGAGCAAAATGGACCTAAGACCTCCGAGTGAAAGAGCTGCTAAATACCTAGTGTCTGAACATCCTTTAACCTAATCCCATATATAACTAAGTCCCAAATATTTTAGGCAGAAAGAGCTACTAAATACCTAGTGTCTGAAAATCCTTTAAACTAATCCCCAATATTATAGGCAGAAAAATGATTCAAATATGCAGACTTAAGGGTATATTTCGTTCTGTTACTCAAAAAATAACTCCATAACTCAAGCCACCGAAGAAAAACTGCGGCTTATGGCAACTTCAAGTTATGGAATTGATGATAATGACCCTCTTTAGGTCTAATGTCACTACATGTGCTTCAATTCAAATAATAATTTCGAATTTCTAATTATGGAAGTTCGTTTGTATATTTTTTCCTTTACAAATATATCATTTTAATTAAATTGTTTTTGCCTTCAACACACCATCAGACACTGTCATAAGAATAACTGATTTCAATTGAAACTCCATATAGAATTTTGGCAGCATTATTCAATCATGAAGTTTTCCCTTCTACCTGACTAAAAAGTGTATTTGTTTATATTTATAATGCAAGTGTGTGTATTGTTATAGTTCGTCAACTTCTTTTCAAATTTAAGAATACCTAAGTTTTAAAAAAATCAAACCATAAAAACTAAAAAAATTACCCAAAAACAGAAATAAAACAATAAATGAAAATTAGTTTTGTATTGAATTTTGTTGTATCTTATTAGAATAAGTTTTCTTTTCTTATTAAAAATATATTTTTGCATTCTTTCATTTGTTTTTTTCTTTTTTAACATTAGATATATAAATTAAACAATAGCAACATTATCGCATTAGCAAACAGAAAAAAATAATAACATTAACCTAAAATAGAGGAAAAAATAACTATACAGATTGTAAAATATAAAATTAAAAATAATTTGTTTTTTGTTGCAAACAAAACTAAATACATACATAATTACAAACAAATAGTTATTTTTTTTTAAATTACAATTTACAATATATCAGTACCTTTTCTTTTCTCTGTTTCGTTAATGTTGTTAATTTTGTTGTTGTTTTTCTATACATATTTTTGTTTTCGTTTTAAATTTTAATTTTTAGTTAATAATAACAATAGTTGTTAAATATACTCCTGTTGTTGTTTTTCTTACAATATTTCTACAAATGTACAGTGTCAGTCAAAACTTGGACTTTCGACCTTATTCTCTCTTTGTTTTTTTTTTTAATTACTCATTTGTAGACCCCCACTACTACGACTACCGGTTGACGATGATGTTTGCAGGTTATTGAATTGTGATACCAATTTGTCATAGTCTTCTAGGGAGGTTTCAAACTGTTCCAACTGCTTGGAAAGATCATCGACAAAGGAATATTCACCCTTGGAGTTGGAGCAGGAATTGGCGGCGGAGGAAATTGTTTGCTGTTGATTGTTGGCCGCCTGCGAACACGTCTCAGCCTGTATCTCTGATAGACCTTTGAGGGGCGGCGCATGATAACAATCACGATAAAATTTCGCCAAATCATTGACATGTGAGGTGGGTGAGGCAAAGGGGAAATTCAATTCTTTGAGTAGATTTTCATCTTCCGATGAGAGATGATGGGCCAGTGTTGTTGTGGTTATCGATGATGGCGGAGAGGAGGCCTGCTGCTGCCGACAGTTGGGTGGCAGGTTGCTATTTATGGTGGCGGGTATAAACAATGATTTGACAGGTGATTGGGAGTGTGTTGAATTGTTGGGTGATTTTTGAGATGGCGGGATTGCAGCTGCTGTCGGTTGCTGTAAATTTTCATCATTTTCCAAACTCTTAAAGGCCGTCACGTTGTTGTTGGTGGCCGAGGAATTGTTGTTGTTATTAATCGTGGCAGCATTATTGTTGATATTGTGTTGATGACCATTTCCCAAGGGCGACGTTTGTGGTGAATCGCATTTCCGATTTAACGATTCAATGGAACCACCATAACCCGTGCCGGTACTACCCGTACTCTCGTGTCGGGGTTTCCGCAACAACCACTCAAATGGTGGTGTTTCGGGTAGAACAAAATCATCTTCGGTATATTGACGCAGTTTACCCACATCTGTAAAGGCACCTGGCCTCAGGGGTTTTTCAATATCGATGATTTTCTTGTCACCACCCAAACCACCCGCAGATCCTTTTTTATTGCTGGCATTGCCCGCATTCTGTTTGCTGTTATTTTCACAGTGTTTAAAGTGATTCGAATCAATCATGATGGTATTCGATTCTCGTGTTCTGGCCTGGGCAGCTGTGGCCGATGGAGTAATTGTCATTTTCGTGCGATACGACACGCTCATCACCAAATTGCCCACGATGGTGTTTAAATTTCCAATGCGCACTGTTTTATGTCCCTCGCCCAATGCATGGACTTGAGGCTTTTCCACATAGATGCGATAGTAAATGCTGTACGAATCGGGACACTGGCGTCGGGATAGCTTGTATGCGGGTGTGGCACGTGTCAACGAAATTAATGACTTCAAAAGCATGCCCATGCGATTGTAGATGGCATGGGCTGTCTTCAGACAGGGCGTATCGGGTTGTGATGTATTATTGATGTTTTGATTAAGGCCAGCCTTGTCATTGGCGGCGTTGTTGGCTGCGGTATCTTTATTCTTAGTTTGGACACCGCTGCCGACGCCACCGCCCACATTAGGCTGTAAATCCAATGACCACACCTCCAAAATCATTTGATCACCTTCGGCTGTTTTCAGGGAAATCTCCACACACAGCGGCAGACGTTTCAAAATGTTCTCTCCGGGTGACAAAGCTAAGGCTTTTTTCGTTTCAGCATGAACATCTGGATGATCTTCGACCACGATGTTGAACCAATCGTTTCCGGCCAATGGATTACATTTTGTTTGGATTTTTTCCCCAAGCCTTGACTGGACCACAACTTGGGTGGATTTCAAAGCGAGAAATTTGATAAATTTCTCCAAATCTTTTTCGGCTGCATTGATGCGTTGTGTCGACATATTGCAATGTTTGCTTTGTTCTGCTGCTTCTTCTTTTCTTCGGTTTTACGTTTGATGTTGTTGTTCTTTTTATTGTGTTGAACAAATTTGTTCTCGTTTAAAATGGTTTGTGTTCGTCGTGTTTCAATTCTTCTTCTTCTTCTTCTTTGTTTTCTATTGTTGTTGTTGTTTTTGTTTGCTGTTGCTCTTCTCGCACACACACAGTCTCACATGCACTTTCAATGAAAAAAAAACAACAAACACATGCACAGTTTCGTTTCTTGGAATTTCGTAGAAGTTTTTTGTCTTCTTCTATTTTGTTTCTCTTTATTATTATTATTATTGGTGTATGTATATTTCCTCTTTTTTCTTAATATTTTGTTACTTGCAAAATCTTATTAAACTTCCGCATTTTTTTATATTTATCATTTTTTCTTGCCTGCATTACAACAGCAGTTTTTGTCTGTTTGTTTTAATCTTCTTTTTTGTTGCTTTTCTTGGTAATTACTGCAATTCGCACTCATTCAGCAGCAGCAGTTGTACAAGCATTACACACCCTTTTTTAGATTCACTTTATTTGGTATGCTTATTTTCTTGTTTTGCTTTTGCATTAATTTTTCAATTTCATTTGTTGGTTTTCCGTTTATATTTTGTGTTTATCACTGCTAAACAAAAATTCGCGCGTCACGTTTTATAACAAAGGAATTGTTTATCAATCTGCACTTTGTTTCTTCTTTAACACAAAAAAACTAAATTACAAATTGAATGTCTGCGACATTTTCTTTCCGTTCGCTTTGCTCGCGTGTTTCTCTCTCTTTGCCGTTTTACAATTGAATGGAATTTCTACGTGTGGTTACTCATCATTAGGGTTCTATAAATCGATTATTCGTTTCAGTTGTATCGATAAGTGATTGGTTTTCCGATAGAGTGGTGTGGCAATATGTTAAACATGTTGATCAAATGATGTGGGTTAGGGTGTATTTACACGAAAAGTGTTTTATTATTAATCATAATTTAATTGTCATGTAAGCTATCATATTTTTGTATATATGTCAAAAAATTAAACATGTTTAATGTAAGGAAGGGTTTGGACAATAAAACAATAGATTACTTATAATGTGCTTATATTAGTATCGATCTATTAAACTGGTCCTATATTTACATCAAACGTGTTTTATAGGAATGGTTTTTGTTACAATTATGCAAAGGCTTTTCAAAAGGTTTTTGTAGACTGAAGACTAGAGTTGGGTTGTTCCGGAACGAATTAGTCCAAGGAAATATTCCGCAAATGGAACATTCGGTACGTGGTTTCGTTTATTTTGCTAAGACGTTAATTTCGACTTGTTTACCTAGTTCGTTTTGGTATAATATTTTCGTTCGAATTAACTGACGTCTGCCAATTATTGAACTAAAATGATCCACGGAACTAAATGAATGACATATTTCCCTTCGGACACCGGAATGGAAATGTACGAGCCATTTCAGGAAGGGGATAGTCCAACTGTGCTGAAGTCCTTTTAGAAGTTTTTAATAGACCGAATAACTTCCAGAAAGCATTCTATATGCAAATAGTTTTCTAGAACGTCTTCTATGGATAAAATACCTTTAGTAAACACTTTTATAGACAAAAAACATCTTGGAACTGCTTCTACAGCAAAATACATTTCAGGAGGTGTTCCTCAAAAAAATTGATCAATTATAGGTAGAAGATCATTATATAGGATTTTTACACAGAAAATGTTACGATATGCCTTCAATACGAGGGCAGTTCGGAATGTTCTTAGCCTAGCTCAAAAAACGCGGTATAAACAGAAAAAAGTTAAGTGTTTTGGAAACTTCCATCTCTTTTATGAACACATGTTAAATTTTGTTTTGATCTAGCAACTCCTTCATATAGAAACAGGTTGAACGCCGCATCCGCAATTTGTTTACAATAAAAGCATTTCTAATTTTTTCATTGTTGAAAATTGTGGATGCGTCTTTTTTTCAACACCTATTTTCATGATGCAATTATAAGGTGATGTATCAAAATAAAAACCATTGTTTTTGTCTCGACCATTTGTCAAATTTTTCCTTGTAATATTTCACATGGTTGGAAACATTGCACATGGCATTCAAGTAGAAAGTACGCTCTTTGACAGTTAATCAAGTCATCAGCTGCGCTAAATGGACTATATTTTTATTGTGCCATGTCTGTTTCTATATGAAGGAGTTGCCAGACCGAAACAACATTTAACATGTGTTCATAACAGAGATGGAAGTTTCCAAAACACTTAACTTGTTTCTATTTATACCGCGCTTTCCGTGCTAGAAAACGTTTCAGTAGGTATTTTTAAGAGAGAAATACTTTTGAATGACAGTTTTATTTTTTTCGTGTTCGCGGGATTCAAAAAAAGTTTGGACTGTCAAACTTAAAAAAAATAGTAAATAATTGCAGAACGGAACAGACCAATAATGCTTATTTAAATGGCAAAATAACTTCCAGAAGGCCTTCTATAGACAGGGAAACTGTGAGAAGGATTAATATTGACCGAAGTCCATATAAAGCCGTTTAGAAATATTTATACCTCACACCATGCGGAACAAAAACCGAAATACGAAAGGTAACAAATGTGCTTAGGACCATCGAAGTGTCTAAAATAGATGGGGCCTTAATATATGGACATTTTGAAATTGAAATTTTCGTCTTTTGAGAAACAGGTATACCAAAATGCAGAAACTTGGTTTGGAAATTGCGACTAAAAATTCAAAATACATCCATTAAAAATTGATCCTTAAAAATATTCAAAATAGGACGGACTTTCATATCAAAACATGGACATACATATGTTCTGATGTTAACCTCTTTTTACCATTCAAGAATTCCGAATGTCAGTTACCATGGTATAATTATTACAAGGTAATACCATCTGATTACAATTTTTTCTTAAAGTGGCTTGTTCTATTAAATCAAAATACATTTTTTGTGTATTTTTGTTTTGTCAAATAAATTTAAATATATTCGAGTTTAATTGAAATGAAAACCATTTAATTCCTTCGTCTGAAAGAAATTGATAAGTTATGGATGAAACAATCATTTCTCGGTATTCCCTAATCGAAATCATAGACTTTCATTATTTGTTTGCGTTTTTATTTATGTGTTGAAAATATGCCAAATGAACACCTGATCCATATATTTATTTAATATTTGACAGAAGAAGCCACAATAGTTTTTTTTTTTCTTTTGTCATTACCCTCAACATTTCCTACCTTATATGGGCGTAATTTTAATGTGGGTTTCTTATTCTGAAAGCGTTATTAGATTTATGAAATGAAATCGATTTCAACTCTCATTTACACAAATTCAACGATTTTTTAACTTAATAATATCATTTAATAAATCCACTTGACCGCAAATGTAAATCTCATTTATATATAGGTATTACTTTACGAACATGAGGCTTTGCATTTGACACATAATATCGTGTGTATTTTGTAGTCTAAATGCTCTTTAAGAAGGTAAAACCGCTGTTAAAAGATAAGTTTTATCTACTATTTCAATACAAGCAATGTTTACTATGTTTGCGTTAATTTTTTTTTTACGAACATACATCATGTTCTTGACATAAACTAATCCAAACACTTTTATATTAAAAACTCCAGCAATGAATTTATTTCTTTACTATCATGTCACTTTCATAGTTATACGCAATTTAATTAGGGACGCCCTACACAACATATACAAAAGCTACTGACTGTGTCAATGTTAAAGTCAACACGACCGTAGCCGCTGAGAGATTTCTTGCAGAGCGAGAGTGTTTATTTGTTGCACGTGTGTTTTCTTTATGGAATATTGTGAATAAATTGTAATTTTTTCAAGAGTAAAATTGTAAATTAAATATTTTAACAATGGCACCGGTTATTAAACAAAAAACAAAGAAATCCCCTAAAAAGGAAGAATCTGCCGCAAATAAGGAAACTGTAGTATCTTCACAGGTACCGTAACATAACTGTCGGCTTGCACGCTGGAATGATGGAACTGACATTTTGATTAAATTTACCTTTTTTTATTTTCCAGCTTCAAAAGAAAATCAACAAACAACAAGCCAAGAAAAAGGATGATCGTGGTGTTGTTTTCATCAAACACTTGCCTCATGGTTTCTTTGAACAACAGTTGAAAAATTATTTCGAACAATTTGGTAAGGTGACAAGATTGCGATTGGCCCGCTCCAAGAGAACTGGCAACAGCAAAGGTTATGCCTTTGTGGAATTCGAATATCCCGAGGTTGCACAAGTTGCCGCCGAAACTATGGATAATTATTTGATGTTTAAGAAACTTGTCAAAGCCGCTTACATACCACCAGAGAAACAACAATACAACTATTTCAGATCCACAGTGCGACAAATTAAAAATAAGGTTTGTCCCATGAGCATTACTGAAATTATTACCATTATCTAATCAATATATATTTCCTAATTTTAGTCTGGAAAAACTGTGTGGGTGTCGAGTAAAACCGCTTCGGTACAACGTAAAATGAAACAACACAACGATTGGTCCGAGGAGAACTTCACCAAACGTACCACCAAACAGCTAAAGAAATTGCAGAAAATGGCAAAGAAATGTGAACATCTTGGCATCGATATTAATAAAATCATAATTGAACCTAAACTAAAAAGTGATGATAATGCTGCTGGCAGCTCTAAATCGTCGAAAAGGAAAAGTGAAAAGCAGCCCACGGATGAGAAGAAATCAAAGAAACAACCAAAATTGGAAGATTTATTAGGTAATACCATACAAGAGGATTCTGAAGATGAAGATTACATTGCAATGGGTGAGGATGACGATGAACAATCATCCGATGAAGAATCCTATGGATTCCTTAAAGAAGATGACGATGATGATGAAGAGGACGACAGTGAGGAAGATGATGAGGACGACGAGGAAGATGAAGAATCCGAAGAAGAAGAGGAACAGAAACCCGTTAAACCAACTAAAAAGACTAAAACCAATTTTAGCAAATCTTTAAAGGATTCAAATATTGAACGTTTCGATCAGATGCTTAAACGTAAACCACACACCGGTGGCATACAAAAGCCAACAAAGAAACTTGTTAAACCTGCCGTTGTTTCGAAACCCAAAAATAAAATGCAAATTAATGCAGCAAAGGAGTTAGCTAAACCTTTTACAAAGGTCCAAGGAAAGAATGCAAAAAATGCTGGTAAAGCGTTAAAGAAATCTAAAAAAGTTAAATAGATTATAAGTATGTATTGTTGTAATACCAATTTTTCCCCCTTTTCAGTAATATAAGTTTGTATAAAAAAAATAAATTTCTATTATCTAGATAAATATATATTTTTAAATGAATATTTATTAGCTTTATGGCTAGGGGTATAAGGACTTTGATACCAATACGAATGTGCACCATCGAAATATCGGGTTTTAGACTTCAAGTGTCTTTGGACCAAATCTGTTTCAAAAGGAGTAGATTTAGAAACAACTGTCTGTCTGGTGGGATGGTTGTAGAATGAAGCTAGGAGAGTATAGAAATTCACTTAGATAACAGTAGTTTTCTAGCAATGGCATTGCCTTTGTGGTGTTCTTTAAAAAGAACGGTGGCGCCAAATGAGTTACAAAAAGGTATTAATTTTAGGGTAAATTAGAAAAGGATGATGAATACATACGAATATTGATTTCATGTCTTTTGGGACACTATCTAAAATCACATGAGCGACATTTTTTTGGAATATTTCAACTTGTGGTATTTTCTTCATGATTCAGGAAAATAAGGGCGAAAAGACGCACAAGGAATAGAGATAGAAAGAAGATATGTTTTACAAAAATATTCCTCATTCAATTTGCCTGAAATCATGTCAACTCAAAAATAACTTGCAATAATATCCCCAATCAAAAATATATAATTTATTAGTATTAAAGTTCAATATAACTATCACAACATAACTCAATAACATGACAAAATGTATCCTTTTGGGCTCTTAATACACTCGCCAAGGGCTTTCATCCCCACAAGGAATTTTCAACCACCCAGACCATATGCTCGATTTTATTGTCTAATGCTTTTGATCAAGGCGAATATCGAAAACAGTGACCTTTCTTCCGAAAGTATCTGTCCTTTACATAGCGGCATTGACATCCACAACCCACTTTCGGTTGTTGACTGTCTTAGCAACATTTTCTTAAAGGGAAACCCCCCATTTAGGTTTTCGAAAAATTTAATGTTTTTTTATTAAATTCATGTAATTATAACCTACATTTAAAAATGTCATTATACCATACACAACTATGTTGTCAGGGTATTATAGCTTTGTGCAGCCCCAAGAATTTGTAACGCTGCGAAATATTGATCCTAGACCCACCTTAAAGTATACCGATTGCCATATCACGGCTAGCTGAGTCGATCTAGACATGTGTGTCCGTCTGTCTGTCCATTATAATTTGTATACACGATATAGGCCACCGTTATGGAACAATCTTCACGAAATATTGCATGTAGGATGGGTTCTGGCCAATGAAGACCACTATAGTTTTTGGTAAAAATAGGTTAATATTGAGGGGATGAAATGGACCAAATACTTAATTTTTGTCTTTTTTTTCTTTTTTTTAATTGATACCAATTATAGTAATCCATTAACATTAGAGGGCAGAAACAAAGCCCTGGTCCCTTTAAAATTTTCCAAGAAGTTTCGGTTATGGTCAAGGACATTGCCTATAGTTTTCGGTGAAATTTTAAAACTTAAACGAAAACTTAATTTTTTTGATTTTTTTCGAGTCGAATATCACAACACAAGGGATCCTCGATAAGTAATTAGCAGGGCTGTAATGAATACTAGCAATATTTGGAAAATTTGTCAGTGTAAGGAAGAGGTGCTATTGATCTCTAATCGGCCAAGAGGGTGCATATAACGGTACCCACCTCAATATTCGATATTTTGGGATTTTGGAAACGATTTTCAACTGACTTGACTGTAATTTAGTATTTTGGGTTCTCATAGTGTAGCACATCCTTGTGCTAAAAATTATTAATATTGAACCAAGTTTGAGTGTAGCCTCCTAACAACTGTAACACAAAATATTTGGTAATTAGGAGATATTGGACACGTTTTTCAACCAAATCGGCTGTAATTTGGTATTTTGGGTTCTCATTGTATAGCTCATCCTTGTACTAAAAATGTTTAATATTGAACCAAGTTTGAGTGTAGCCTCCATATAACGGTACCGCCGTTAAACGCTAACCCGCTTATTAGGTAATCATCTTTTTCTCAAGTCTTCTTGAATAGTTCTACAATAACATGAGTTATCTAATATGTATTTTGAATGTCATCTACATGGTGGAGGGTATAAAATGTTCGGCCGGGTCGAAATAACCCCTGTTTTAACTTGTTTTCTTATTCTTGAAGCCCTCATATAGATATATGCAAAACAATTCTTCAATATACGATCATATCGTATCGAGATGGGGGGTCACCTTTAATTATTCGGTGTAATATAGTTTTGCAGTCATTAGTGTGTTGGGTATAGGTCTAGTTTTAGGTGTAACCCCATTGAAAATTAAATTTGAATTTGAAAGATTTTTGACCAAAACACTATATTTTGGTTCGGATCAGGTGGCAAATCATCCCCAGAATTACTATACTTCTATTGGTCCATCCTTATAACGTTATCTTAAGATTTTCGGTACTTTGAATATCTTGGGAACGTTATAACATCAAATCGGCTGTAATTTGACATTGTATAGAAAATCTCCTTACAAAGTGTACGGTGACAATTTTCTAGCAAATTTTCGTACTAAAATGCAAAATAATCTTTACAAATATGAATTATAAAAAAATTTAAAAAATAAAAATTATAAAATTAATTGTTATAGTACTGTATTGTGGATTGTGAGCTATATTATTATTTTTATTTATTACTTAAAAATTTACTTTTTGCCAGTGAGGATTTTCCAATTGGAGTGATAATTTTTGTTTCCTAACTCATATGGCGCCATTATTGCAACAGTGTATATAAAATTTGACTAAATCAAATGAAAAGAATAATTAAATTAATCTATATTGAAATATACAAAAATTGACTTAAATATTAATAATAATTATTATACTATAAAATTTCGTTACTTTCAGACATTTTAAAATAATTTATATTAGTTTTAAATCGCCCTGTTGCAATACTATGATAGTCACCCTGTGTTCAATTAAATATACAATACCGATTACTTGTTTATTGAAACCTAAACCATGGGCGCAAATGTAATATTTGCCACAACTTTCACAACAGGGGATGTAGCTCAGATGGTAGAGCGCTCGCTTAGCATGTGAGAGGTACGGGGATCGATGCCCCGCATCTCCAATCTACTTTTTATATTTTTTCATTTACTTTTTTAAATTTTAAGTACAGGCCCTTTTGATTGATGTTTTATAATGTGGAAATGGTGTTTATTTGAACGATAATTTTTAGTTGTCACTAAGAAACATGTAACTGATATTAGTAATGACACGAATAATAAAAAATTCGTTTACAATCGGCTGTAATTTTAAATAGATGCAAAAATCCAAGGTCTAATCTATGGCCCAATAAACAGTCGAGTAAGAAACAATCGTGAAAATTATTGAATAATTTTATGAAAATTCGTGCTAATGATGGCCACCAAATATTGATTCGCAGGAATTGGGTCTCTGTTATTCAACAACGTGGAAAATTTTGCGAAGGGATTTATATGCAAAGCATCCAGAAAAATCACACTTTCTGTTTATGGGTTGGTGGTATCATAGGACCGTATTTCTTCTTAGATGCTGCGCAATCGTAACGTAGCTGATGAGCGTACCGTGAGATGATATCCAACTTTTTTGCCAAAATACAAGAGTTTGACCTCCATGACATGAGGCGTTCGCTGTATTTGATTGACCACTTTGATTGCGCGATTTAAAGCCATTAGACTGTTTTTGTGGAAATATGTTGAAGCTCTTGCCTACACAGACAATCCAAAATTGAACGGATGGAAATGGAAGCGGATGGAATATTTCAGGCACAGTCGTGCTCAACATTTACATAAAATAATTTTCATACACGAAGGTATTCAAATTCGATTCAAATAAAGACTTCTTGAATTTTCCCGAAATTAAAGTTTTTTTTTTTGAGAATTTTTTTTATAGATCTGCATATATTTATATCCTTATAATGTTTTTGTTTAGTATAAATTCTTGAGAATGATTATACACTTTTTCAATTCTCAATAGATTTGTCGAATCAGTTTTTCCTCAGTACGAATGATATAAATAGTTATATCTAAATCTGAACCGATTTCCACGAAACATCATTCTAGAATTAATTCAGTACAACATGTCCAATATTGTGTAAATCGAATGATACATAGGGACTTTGGACAAAAATATATATGAGAGCTATATCTAAATCTGAACCGATTTTCACAAAACTTTACACACATCATTCTAGACTTTATTCAATACTTACTTACATAGCTGGCTTGTTACAGAACGGTTGTTCCATAAGCCGAGCTTAAAAAAGATTTCCAAGCGCGTCGGTCTTGTGTGCAAGTCCACCAATTTGGAAGACCACGTTCCATGATGTTGTTTTCTACTTGGTCTTTCCATCTAATTCGTGGCCTTCCCCTTCTACGGGAACCATCAGTAGGCTCATTTTTATATGCCTTTTGAGCTGGGGCATTTTCATTCATCCGCACAACATGGCCTAGCCACCGTAGTCGCTGCAGCTCAATACGACTGACTATGTTTATGTCCGCGTATAAATTGTAAAGCTCGTGGTTCATTCGAGGTCGATATTCACCGTCGACGCAGATCGGCCCGAAGATCTTTCGGAGAAGTTTTCTCTCAAACACCCCAAGAGCTGCCTCATCTGCTTGCGCTGATACTACCCACGGGTAGTAGGCGGGAGGTGGTCTTGTTTCTAAACTGCTTACTTAGACCATGGTAGCATCTGTTGGCCATCACTATCCTTCTCCGAATTTCAAAACTGATGTCATTTGTTTTATTTATGGCGGTACCAAGGTATGTAAAGTCTTTAACTACCTCGAAGCTGTAGTTCTCAAGTTCCACAGTTGGTCCAAGTCCACTGGACGTCTTGCGCGTTGATACCATCAGCTTGGTCTTCTCGCCGTTTACTGCCTGACTCCAGACTCGCCGTTTACTGCAGACTCCTTTTCAATTTGTTCAAAGGTGGCTGTTACCGCTCGCAATGTTCGATCCATTATATCGATGTCATCGGCGTAGGCGAGTAATATGTGTTGTTTGGTGTGCAGAGTCCAGTAGGATGTTAAAAAGATCACACGACAAACTGTCACCTTGTCTGAATCCTCGTTCGGTATTGAAGGGCTCCGATAGGTCCTTTCCTACTTTAACTGCAGACCTTGTACCACTTAAAGTTATCCTGCATAGCCGTATTAATTTTGCAGGAATGCCGAACGCAGACATGGCTTTAAACACCTCTGAACGGATAGGGCTGTCGAATGCGGCTTTATAGTCGACAAATAGGTGGTATGTGTCGATGTGTTTTTCGTGGGTCTTTTCCAGGATTTGGCGCAGAGTGAAAATCTGGTCAATGGTGGATTTGCCAGGTCAGAATCCGCATTGGTATGGTCCGATGATGTCATTGACCACTGGCTACAATCGTTCACACAGCACACTGGATAGCACTTTATATGTGATGGGAAGGAGACTTATTACTCTATAGTTGGCACATATCGTCTTATCACATGCATTCATCTAGCCAAATTGTGCTAATCAGCTGGTGCATTCTCCTGACCAGCATCTGGCCACCAGTCTTGAATAGTTCGGCTGGTAAACCATCGGCTCCTGCTGCTTTGTTGTTATTGAGCCGATTAATTGCTTGCCTTTTACACTATGCCAAATTTTGTGCAAATCGAAAGAAAGAAATAAAGGGACTTCGGGCCATCATTTACCTAAAATCGGACTAAACTATATATGGGAGCTATATCTAAATCAACGGATTTTCAGGAAACTTAAAACACATCATTGTATACCTATTTCATTACGCTGTGCCAACTTTTGTGTAAATCGAAAGATATATTGGGACTTTGGTACACCATTTACATTAAATCGGACGAAAATATATATCTAAATCAGAAACGATGTTCACGAAACTTAACACACATCATTCTATGCCAAATTTCGTGCAAATCGAAAGATATATAGGGACTTTGGTACATCATTTACATTAAATCGGACGAAAATATATATGAGAGCTATATCTAAATCTGAAACGATGTTCACGAAACTTATCACACATCATTCTAGACTTTATTCAGTACACTATGCCAAATTTCGTGCAAATCGAAAAAATATAGGGACTTCCGGCCACCATTTACCATAAATCGGACGAAAGTATATATGGAAGCTATATCTAAATATTAACCGATTTTCAGGAAACTTAACACACACCATTCTAGACCTTATTCATTACGCTATGACAAATTTCGTGCAAATCAAAAGATATATAGGGACTTTGGTGCACCATTTACCTAAAATCGGACGAAACTATATATGGGAGCTATATCTAAATCTGAACCAATTTTCAGGAAATTTAACACACGTCATTCTCAGAACGTGATGCTATGCATATTCTCAAAAGGAACCATGGGTCTATCTCGATTCCTTTTGCCTGTTACAAACATATGCACAAAGACATAATACCCTGTACCACAGTGTGGTGAAGGGTATAAAATAGTTTGCCAACAATTATCAGATTTGTAGCCTTGTATAGACAAAACTACTTGAGGTATCAATGCTAAATTTCATATTTATTCTAATTAGAGTGTTTTATATCCATTCTCATCAATAAATTTTTCCTCCAAGGTAGTTGGTTTTAACCATTTTCGGTCGCGTTTGTGGCACTGTGTATCGCTACGATGAAAACATGTGAAAATCGATTTTTTGTCTATGAGGACCCTATCTAAAATCTTATGAACAACATTATTGTAGAATATTTCGCCTATGGTTCGATCTTGATCTTTGGCGAATTTGTCCGAATTTTCTGAAATTGTATTATTTTCAGGACAGAATCCATAACTTTTTTTATTGAAACAAAAAGTCGTGATCTTTTCATATCCCGTTTGTTCAATAAATATCAAATAAAAAATTCAAACCACTATCTATGCATTGAACATAAAATCAGGGACTGTTATTTTCATTATTTGAAATAAGACACACTTGTAACGAGTGGCATAGTGCCCCCTTATAAAAATATCAATAGCACGTATCACCACTCCAAAGACTAATATTTTTTGTTGTTATTCAGAATAAACAAAAACAAAGGCATAGAAAATATCCATATGTTGTAGCAACAAAAGAAATCTTACAGAAGAGGAAAATCGTTTTTCTTTTAAAAAAAGAACCAAAAAAAAAACGACAACAAACTACATATAAACTTCAATAGGTCAATAAAATTGTCTAACAAAGATATAATCACACATCATTTGGAACTATGATTGACTAGCTACGCTAATGTGGCTTAAAACTCTTTCACTTAAGAAAAGCCGACTTGGAAGCATTTTAATTGATCCATAAAAATATTATGAGTGACCAACATATGTTCGCTCTGGATTCTGGAATAACCCATGCATTACGTGATAGGAAGAAAGGAAGGAAGGAAGAGGGATAAACAATTACACTTCCGTAAAATTCATATTTTTGTTTGTATTTGAAGTATTCATATTTCATAATGTAAACAAATATTGTGTGTGTGGGTGTTCTGGCGCACACTTTGGAGATCAATGTCTAAATGTGCACTTCGAGAAATTTATGCATTGTTATGCCTGTGTCATGCAGAGATGCTGGTTTTTAATCAGTATGTTGTTCAATGCAGAACTGCAGCTCCGTCCGTACGCCTCTTAGAATCACTATAGGCCTTATGACTAATGAGGGAATATACACTTTGATACGGTGAAAATATACCTCATCGAAATATTGAAAATTGGAGTCGATTTACAAATGTGCGTCCGTCTTTCTGGGCGGCTGGTGACCATGATAACTCCTAAATGGCGATTTTATCCAAACTTTGCATATCTTAATATTTCTTCCAAACTCAGTTCATGTTCAATGATGGGGAATATCGGTCCACTCCTTCCTTACAAAATTGTGCAAAAAATTAATTTTATAATATCATGCGAACAGACTATCCCATTTGAACCAAACTTTGTACTAGCTATTATCTTTACCAAGCCAAGATGATGTCCGATGATGAGACCCATTGGTCCATTCCTTCTCTTCCCTCCTTCACAAAGGGTCCAAATTTTCAATATTTATAAATTCAATATCAGGCGAATGGAATGTCCGATTTGAACCAAACTTTCCACAACATATTATCCCATAGATCGGACTCGTCTGCCCTCTCCTCCAGTACCTCCAAATTTTATTTGAATAATCGATTTGATCAACATTAAATCTGAAAAATATTTGATAAAACATTTACCTTATATAAATCTAATAATAAAATCTGTGTTTAACTCCGAAGACCTTCTCCGTAAATCATAGGGTTAGGGTGTATAGCTATCGGCAACACCGACTGATACTTTCTTACTTGTTAAGATTGAATTTTGAAACCCTTCGGATGTTTATATTGTAATTGTAACAAAAGAAACCGTACTTTGTAAAAACTTATTTTAATTTACTGCGGATAATCTACGTTTTGGCAGGTGAAATCATCGAATCAACTTTTCGATGTCTGTTTATCACAAAAGCCTATCTCCAACTAACTTATTTTCTAAAGTTGCCGCTCGGTCTAGGAACCTAAGAGCGCTTGTTATTAGAAAGTTATCTACTCGGCCGAAGTCGATGGAATCATACACTAATCTATTAGTAGGTAGTCGCCAGATTCCTTGTTCTGGCCTTAAGGCTAAACAGGACCCAAATGCGCAGCCTCACCATTTGGTGGGAAGAGATCCCAAACCAAACAGGGAAGGAATACCCAGTTAGTGGCCTTATTACTTGTTTGTAGATAAGTAGCCCACTCCTACAAAGCATAAACATAAAAATTAAACATGGAGAGTATTGACAGAGGTGGCGGGGCTGTTTATTTATTATTTAATATTTGTTAATAAGTTTGTGTAGCGATTCAAAATTTACAAAAAAAGGCTTACTGGAAAGTAACCAGACACACCTATATTGTTGTTTACAACGTCACTGGAAGTAAGGTTTGCAACATGGCACAATGAATAGGTAGTCCATTTAGAGCAGCTGATGTCTCGATTAACTGTCAAAGTGGATAATTTCTGCTTATATTCGATGTACAGTGTTGCCAACTATGTTAAATATTATATAAAAAAAATTTGACAGATAATCGAGACAAAAACAAATGTTTTTGTTGTGATACATCACCTTATTATTGCATCATGGTTTGCAATAACAACAATGGACCAAAAATACGTCAAATTAAAAGAGTAAATTTGGTTATTTTGCATGGATTTGTCAAGATGGACCAAATGTTCCGCGAAAAAAACGAATACACTCAAATTTTGATTACAAAATAAATAACGCGAGTCTTAAACCGCAAATAGGTCGTCGAAGGAAAGATTATGAGAACAAATCTAAAAAGTGGAGAAGAGGAAATGGCGGGCTTCAGTTCCCCTTAGAATATAAACTATCAAAATTTTACTTTTTTCAGGATTGATCAAAAATAAAAGAATGTACAGTATTCCCCGCTTAATTACATCCACGCTTAATTACCATCCACGGTTAATTAATCCGATTTCAGAATACCCAGTTATTTTCAGTACAATCCCTTACAAAATTGCACGTTTAATTACCCCCTTTTAATTACCCATTTCATTTATTTGCCCCTAAATAACATACCCCAAAGTAACCATACCTTTAAATCTGTCCCATGTAATTACCCAATGTATTTTTTTAAATCTGGCAACTTCACTTAAAATTACTTACATTTGCTAGTACACTTGCCACACATGTGCACATAAAATCTATTGTTTGGAAATTTTTCGTGAAATGTCTCCCAGAAATACTTCTTTGTCTATCAAACTAAAGCTCCAGTTAATATCTCAAGCAAAAAACAAAACACCAGTGTCCTCCGATATTTACCCTTGCTGGGTATTTAACCGGGGTCCACGGATAATTACCCTAACGAGGTAATCTTGAAATTTTCACTGAGGTAATTAAGCAGGGTTTACTGTATATATTTCTTAACAAACTAGTTTGTTCTGCACAAAGTGGAAATGTTGTTCAACAACACTTGTTTAAAAAATTTCTTTGCACAAATCGAGACTAGGCTTTTATTGAGCGATTGTCAACATGTGGAGATCCAAGGAGAACCATTGTTCTTGCAATATCTCTAGTAAATTATTTAATTTTTCTCAGTGTATATTCCCCTTATTATTTGTTTGCAAACAAACATAAGTTTATGTGCCGTCCTATTGACACAAATCGACCACACTCTATAAACAACACTCTGTCGTCCCCTTGGAGCATAATTTACAATGCTACTTCTCTTTAAGTCAACATCAAAACAATAACAACAGATCGTAACATTTCAAATATGACAGCAGACTACCACTGCCACCACATATGATGATGTGAGTCGTACGTTGTTTGTGTTGTTGTTGCTGTTGGGTATCCTCTTCTAATCTATAAAACATATGCGCCAATCAAAATACAACTTCAGTGCGACAGAAACCTATACCACCAATCAGCAACAAGATCACTCCCATACATTTATGAAAATGTCACATGGATCACTGGAGAGGATCTAAAGAAGAAGAATAGAGGAGAAAAAAACGGAAACAAATTTGCATTGCACAATGTGACATCCATCAGTTTAGTTTTCTTCGAGTGACATTGGTGTTTAGTCGTTGCTGTTAATTTAAAAGATAAATAAAGGAAAAATAATTTAATAAAAAAAAAATTAACAGAATGCAAACAAATTTGGATGATTTTTTATTTGATGAAAATTCGCTGGAAACATATTCAGTAAATCCGTATAATCCGGCAATGCATTGTTATCAGAATCCAGTGTCAAATTCTAACCATCATCACATGAATCATAATACCTATCGGGATATGCATCAATATTATATGCAACAATTTAATCAAAGTTTTAACGGAACTACGACATGTGTAACTTCAACATCGGACACCTTAGTGAATTGTGAACGGAATTCGTACCCATATTCGTATAATCAAAATTATATTGAATTTGATGGAAATTTATTATCACCACCCGCTGCACCACAATACTGGAATGTAGAGAATGAGCGAGAAAGTAATGTTCAAACATCCTGTGATAAGGAGCTGAAGAAAGATGGTATGTTTTTGGATTTACAAAAAAATATTTTAAACAACCGGTATATGGATATACACTGGTGATCAAAACTAAAGCAACCGAAATTCCAAACTGAACAAATGACCTGTAACTTTTTTGAAAATAAAGGCGACACAGGGGGAATAACCCAATAAATCTAGAGTCTATCCCCCTGTGTCGCTAATCTTAAAAAAACTTTTAAAACCTATATCCATACTCAACCAAAATGTTAGAGGTCTTAACACTAAGCTTAAAAAATACTTATTTAAAGTCTTTTGATTGTGATTACAAAAGTCTTCATTTCATCGAAACTTGGCTAAAACGAAATATTGGTGACGCAGGAATTTTTTTCTGATCAATATCAAACATATGTAACTGACAGATTAAATAAATCTGGTTGGGGAGTTCTTATTGCTGTTGTTATAGACAATTGCAGAATCTGTTTGTGTTAACTTAAAATACTTATGAAATACCATAATTTTAACATGTTCATATATTTCTCTAAATTCTGATGTAGATACGGTAGATATCGGATATAAGAAACCCAAAAAAGTCAGAGATTTTCAGATTTACATTATAAGATAAGGGGTACATACACATATAAGAAATCTATTTCTTATACGAATTTATTTTCTTAAAGTAAAATGTTTAAATGAAAAGCAACAATATTTTATTAAATAAAACAATTCAGTATATAAAAATACAAAGTAACGAAATTAAATTATAGTTTGGCAAGAAAAACTAAAATAAAAAAAAAAAAAATAAAAAATTAAAGACAGTTTATAGTTTGACTCAAGGTGTATTATAGTACGTTTACATTTAACCGGATTTCGTTCACCCAGTGGGTTTCAATTGTCAATTCCTTTGCATATATGTCAAATAAATCCTCATAAAGTAGATTAACCCGGTAAAAAGTTCTAATGTATATGCCGTTTTAAATAAGGTGTAAGTGGCAATCATATGGTTTTAAACTTTTTTCTTTATTGTTTGTAAAGTAAATTGTCAAAAACAATTAATTACGATTTACAAAATTGTCTTTAAATTTAGGATTTTGATAACAAATATATTCATAAAGACGGACGAAAAGGAAAAATAGGCTTAAATCAGTTTTAAAACCGTTCGCTGATTTGATCCAAATATTTTATGTTTTGTATCCCGTGTTGAAATCTGTTCATAAATCCTAGCTACACATACATATGTAGTCTATATTGGAATCTGCCTATTGGTATCTCCAAAAACCAATCCAAAGGTGAAAGTCTTTGATATACTCCTATAGACAGATTGCACAAGGGCAACACAATTTCCTTGATTTAGTCTTTGGCCGGGGATTTATATCCACCAAACTTTCTAAGGAGGCGAAATTTAAAGGCAATTCTTCGAAAAAAAAAATTAATTTACAATATAAGCAATATCACCAGGAACCAAGGGCTACACGTTGGAAACATTTCAAAATAATTCGTGAACGGGTCTTAAACTTTACTCACTAACCTAAAATTGCCAAAACTTCAAGAATATACAAAATCATTAATTTTTTTATCAAAGTATTGTTCTTGACAAAAATTAATAAACATAAATGGAAAACTGTTTTTGTTTATTTTTGCCAAAAACTAAGCAATGTTGTTTTTGTAAAATGTTAGTTGTTGTAGCTGTGCATACACCTTGGTTTGACTTACAATATTTAAATATTCAAATACCTTTGTCAACTTTGGTGTTTGACAAACATTTCTTATATCAGTGTTTTTTTTTTGGGTTTTTTTTTTATATGAAACAATTTTTACACTGAAATGATGTAAAAGCTCGGTGTTTTTGATAATCTTTCTTATATCCGATTTTTTCTTATATGCGATGTGCTTATATCCGATATCTACTGTATGTACATAATACATTCTGAATTAATTAAACGAATTTCAGAATCATCAAAATGTGATTTCGATTTGCTTTGGAGACTTTAATTTGCCTTATATAATAAAAAAAACTAAATTGACCCGATTTTCGCATGGTCAAAACTAAAGCAACATTTTGATTTTTTTCTTATAAATAAGCAAATTTGGCTTGAATTAATAAAATGCTCAATTTGATCATTGGATGAACTTTTGGGAAGAGGTTATGTTTGTTAGTGAATCTGTTTTGATTTTTCTATCTATGATGCTCCAAAGTTTTTTCTATAGGGTGAGGATCTAATGATTATGTTGGCAATTTTAAAACCCTATTTTTTGACTCCCGCAATCATAATGCAATAATAAGGTGATGTATCAAATGTTTTTGTCTCGACCGTCTGTCAAATTTTTCCTTATAACATTTTACATGGTTGGCAACATTGCACATCGAATCCAAGTACAAATTATGCATTTTAACAGTTAATAAAGTCATCAGCTGCGCTAAATGGACTACCTATTCATTGTGCTATGCCCGCAACTAATCTTTGTCATGTTTTGGTGTATGTTTGGAGGTGATTGTCAAGCTGAAAGACGCTTCAGCGAAGGGAACCATAGCGTTTTCCATAAAAAGAAAAACAGCCCAATACCACTATTGACCCTATTCCATGCTTCCCAGTACCCTTGTAATACTGTGGCATTGTAGTTTATTTTTTTTATAAAGTCTCGAAACAAGAAAAACGTCTTTAAATTCGGCCTGGACGAACTTTTTATATCCATTAGGTAGACATGGAAAGTACATAAAATCGATTGGGATTGCTAGGGCTAATACTAAGCTACTTGACCGTGCTGTAAATCTAGAGTGACGTTAAAAAAAAAACATGTTTGATATCCTCTAAATTGGGATTACCCTTATATGAGGGTTATACCAAATCCGAAGCCGATTTTCACCTTATTGGGTAGGAAGATTTGAGACCTAATGAGAAATCCAAATATGATGAAAATATTTGCCCGACGAGAAACGAAAATATAAACTTACAACAATTTGATTGAAAAATGTGCCCAAACTCCCAAAAATATCACAATTCGGGAGATACCATATGGTTTAGTATTTCTTGACATTACTTTTTTATTATGTTTTAAAAATATAAGTAATTTCTGGGGTATCGGTATGCGTTGAAGAACGTGTGTAAGTAGTTTTGATATGAACATTTTACACCGAACTGAATATTGGGACAACGTTATATTTTGCTATGAAACCAAAATAATGTGCCCACCAGAGTTTGGCACAAGCCTTTAAAAGCACTAGAAAAGTAAAACCTCATCCCAACAGTGACATTTGGAAAAATGTCAATTTTAATTTGGAGGTACATTTTATTTGGGAGATATAGTGTTTATAGAAACAACAATGGACGCACAATAATATTTTGAAATTAAAAAAAAAAACAACTTTTGATATCCAGTGCTATGAACTTTGGGTTTCTCGGGGACAACAAGTCACATTTAATTTTTTTTCAGAATAATGATCCTAAACATAAGTCATATATAGTGCGGATGTGGCTTCTTTATAACTGTGTGGAAGGAAAGAATAAGAAGCTATTATTATTAGGAGGAAGGTGAGAATAGTTCCGATGGCTAAAGAAATTGGACAGAAAAACATTTACGTGCTAGTCTACAACATCATTACAAACCTAAAATGGTTGCTATTTCCTAACCAATTTACCAGGTTCTATAGTTGGAGAGTGAGCAACCGATAGTCTTTGCCGTCTGTAGGCCAGAACTGGACAGCGACACAGGTGATGCTCAATTGCCTCCATCTCCTCCTCGTCAGCACAGAGTCGGCAGTAATCAGTAGCATCATGGTCCCATTTACTGGTAAAGGCCCTGATATTACAATGACCTGTAATGACTCCTGTCATTACTCTAATTACAGTATTGCTCAGATTCAACAGTGAGTTTGTCCTCTTGGTTGACAGAGTCGGCCAGATAGATCTTGACACATTGCACCTAGGTTCGATTACTAGATCTGTAGATTGAGATCATCGTCTAGCTAAATCGTCTGATTTTTCATTACCTGTGATGTCACGGTGTCCTGGTACCCAACATAGCCGACAGCTGTAAGTGAGTGTTTCCATGATTTGATGGTTTTAATAGAAGCCTTAAAGGTAGTCATCGGTTCAACGATCTCTGCATGCAGACTTTTTATCAATTCTGCTGCCTTCCAAATAGCGAAGATTTCAGCTTGTAAAACACTACAGTTGCTATCCAGCTTGTAGGTGACATGAAGGCTTAGCCTTTCACAGTAGACGCCAGTCGCTGTACTTTCTTCCATCTTGGATCCTCCTCAGACCGCCCAGAGGAGGGTTGCTAAGGTTCCAGCCGTCTCTACTAGGGATAACGACATCTACATCGTCAAAACTCAGGACGTGTGATATATAGTCGCTTATATATGGCCAAAGGTACAACTTCGCCAAAGAGTTTGTTCATGCAGCCTTAGGGCACTACGCGCGACCTGACACTTAATCCTGAGACCCAGAGGCCTTAAGTTAAGCATTGTGTTCAGAGCTGCGTGTGGGGTGCTCTCCGTGGTTCCAGTTATTAGAATCGAGTTACTTCCATATGGCTTCCAACTGGACCGTTTGAAGATAGCAATTGACCACAAACGGCCAAAATTGACCAACAGAAGAAGTGTCGTTTCTACCAGGACAACACTAGGCCACACACATCTATAATGACTCGCCGGAAACTTCGGGAGCTTGGTTGGGAGGTTTTAATGCATCCGCTATACAATCCGGATATGGTACCAAGGGATTATCACATTTTTCTTGCATTGCAAAATTTCTTTTATGATAAAAAAATTGGTGTCTTGGGAGGATTGTAAAAATGGACTACTAGGGTTTTTTTTTACAAATAGAGAGCAGGGCTTCTATGAGATAGACGTTATGAATTTACCATATTTGGCCCACATCGGACATTCCGAAACATGTTAAATAAAATCCTACATATGCATTTGTTTTATGTCCAAGTTTAACGTAAATTATTCCAATTGCTTCTTTGTTTCTAATGGTGGAATAATCGAACAGACCTATTACGTTCTAAAAATCATTCAAATATTCTAATAAATTATTGGTATGTCCCCGTACTGCAAGAATCTACTACTTTTTACTGCGATAACGAATTTTCCTTTATAATATCGAAGAAAATAGTAAAATATAGTAGATTCTATGCATTCTTAATTTATTGTCTTCTTTACGCTTCCAATGTGTATTAAACCGATAATTAATTAAATATAATTACATGATACCAACAATTAAATTCCATCAGTGTTTTGTATACATTTCATGAAAAGCTTCCACCAAAAAATACCTTTCGTTAAATCCACTCGTATACAAACGAATCAGGTCGACAACCCAACAACAAACACAAAATTAATGTTGTATATATGTATGTATATACTCGTATATAGTTTCTAAATAATTTTTTATTAATTCCGTTTAATTAATTCTTAAAAAGTGCTAATTTTTATTCTAATGATATAATTTTTGTTTTTGGTTTGCTTTCATTTGTTTTTTTTTTACCTTACAATACTAAACAATGGAACAAAGTTTTGTGCATAGTTAAAACATTTAATTCATTCAATTTTTTTCAATTTTGATATGGGTTTAACCTTATTCTTGTTTCTTAAAAAACACAAAATAATTAATCACCAGCAATGGAAAAAGGTGCTCAGCCAATATGCTAACTCCAAGCACCCAGAGTTTGTCGCACCATCACCAGTGCTACAAGTAAAAGTTTCACAATTCCTAATGGCTGAATTTGTTGTGGAGAATGGTTACAGGCATCGGCATCACTGCAACTCTGCAAACAGCCGTGAACATATCGGTCATCGTAGTAGAATTTACCGCAATGTGACATCCGAATGATTTCCGTGTCCGTTGTAAGGGTGCCACTGTCCAGGGCACAACCACGCACGGTGATTGTCTCACCTGTGTCGTCATAGTATCCGGCAATTTTTATACATGCTGTTGCTGGAAACAACCCATCACGGCCTTTACGTCCTCCCATACACGGCGACTCCAGTATCGATGTGGAATAGTTGTTGTGGAAGGGATCATCACACGCCCTGTTTGTTCCATTTTTCGAAACACACTTGAAACAATCAATTCCTTCGACATTTGTTATAAATGCAAACATTACCACCACACAAATTAAAAATACGCTCACAATTTTCACCGTGCACATCCGAGGGTGCATTTGTTTCATGAAATGTTTATTCTTAGAGAAAACATTTTCCATTGTGTTATTGTTAGCTCACTTATCGGCCACAAAAAAAATGCACTTTACTGCGTCCAGTCTATGTCGGTTCACTGTCGAATTTTAATTCAAAAATTTTCTTTTTTCAAAATTTCATTTTCATTTCCCTGTAAATTTTTCGTATTGTATATTTTCCACGCACACAAAAAAAACACAATCTACTAATTAGTGTTGGGTGTGGGTGGAAAATTCAGTGCAAGGGTACGGATTTTGGTACAAATGTTTATTTGGGGTTGATTTAGTACGGAGTAATACAAGGGATAATTTATTACCATAATTTATGTACCTGTAATTGTTTGTGTTTGTATTTTTTTTTTTAATTTGTGTTTTAAAATATGTTAAATAAGAAAAAAACTTTGAGTGAAGTGCCTATTTACTCAAATATAGTATTTGACATTGTTTTCAAAGTGATGACTAACACACAAAAATTATTGAAACACCATAATTTCTTTTAAAAAAATCAAGTTAAGTTTATTGAGACTTATAAAAAAAAAAAAAACATACAACGCATTAACAATGAAATTTCTATACATATATCGGCCACTTAAAACTATAATGTATTATTTTAATTTTAATGTTTTGTGTATATTAACAAATTGCAAACATGACAATGACAAAATATTTATGATAATGTAATCTGATGGTGTTACAATATGTTTGCTCCCGGCATATACAAATGTTTTGTAGAGAATCATCTACACAAGGGTTCTTAAAACTACTATACAAATTTTAAACTTACAAACTAAAAATAACAACTAAGGACCAAAACAGAGCATACTAACCCCTGTGTATGCCGGGAGTTGACGATGTATAAAGACTACCAGACAAATAATTTTGTTCCTTTAAAATTCCAATAGGAGATAAACAATTTGTATTTGACCAACTAAAATGCGACTCTGAATTTAAAATATCGCGCATCACACCTCCATTGAAATGTTGGAGATGTTTTACAAATTTTTCTAAACCTAAGAGGGAGTACTCGCACAACCTTACAATGGAAGACGTGTCGTAAATGAATCCATTCGAATACCTTTTATTTTGATGTTGATAGTTCCTACATATGCATTTCCGAATTACACCCCTTTCAAAAATTTCCAATTCTTTCATTACCGATGGAGATATGGTAAACCAAATCGGAAATGCATAAAGTTGGATAGGCCTAATACTTACTTTAAACAGAAGTAATTTCGTTTTAATACTTAGATATTTGTTGTTAAATAATGTTGAAAAAGCTCCTTTAATCAAATCAAATAAAATACCATTAACTGATTGTTTCATCCTGCTGTATTAAATAATTGAGCACTATGAGAAAAGATTTCAATCATAAAAATACAACTCTGAATGGACTGGTCGATGTTACACATGATGCATGACAATGAAATACAGATTTACATTTAATTATATTATTTTATTTATTTTTATTTTATTTTATTTATATTTATTTTATTAATCACGCTGAATTTGCCATGATGTATCATATAAATTTAAATCATCTTGGGGAAGGGTTTATTTTAAATCATGAACGAAATTATAATGCTAATGAAATGCCATATAATTTGTGTGCAAAAAATACCTCTCTCTTGCAATGAATCAAAATTTGAAACTGTTTATGCATATCCTTTGTCAAATACAAAAACGAAATGAGCAAAAGGAATTGAAAATTATTAGATTTGTTTTCTTAATTCTTTTTTACTTTCCAAACGATCACAATTGCTGGAACATTCAATTGACGTTTGAAATTCAACGAACGCGCATTTAGTCTGCTTTTCCACAGGCAGATTTTTATTTGGAAAATTTTTTGTTTTCTCTTTTGAAATTTTCGCTTGCTTTTCCATTAGCAAATTTTTCTTTGCCAAATTTGCGAATCAAAATACAAAAGAAAGAAAATAAAAGTCAAAAGTGTTTGCATTTTAAAGATTTTTTTAATATTTTATTTATTTTTTATATATTTTATTATATAAATTGCAAAAATTAAATTTCACTTGCACAAATTAAAGCAACAGGTTTGTAAACAAAAGCCGGCTGTGTGTCAGTAAAGCGAATAGGTTCAAAAGGAAATGTCAACAAAATTGTTTTCAACGAACAGAGCAAAGCAAAATTTGCGTGTACGGCAAATTCTGAACAGGCAAATTTTTGTTTTTCTTCCTCGCACCCCTCTCGCCTACAAACTCAGTATTTGCCAAATAAAAATTTGCCTGTAGAAAAGCAGACTTACATATGTGTCAAAACAAATAGGAAATATTTAGATGACACGTTTAGACTGTGGCTTCTAAGACGACGCAATTTCTAAATCGAGATAAAAAATACTGACTGTTTAGACTAGGAATAAATAAATGGACTTTCAACTAATCGACTTTTTGTATAAAAAAGTCTAAAAGTCGAAGTCGACTTTTGATCTTTGAGAAAATCGCAAAGTCAACTTCTCAAGATTGATTTTTAGAAGATTTTTGCATTAGTCGGTAAAAGTCGAAAATCGGTTTTCAACAGATTTGACAAAATAGAAAGATCGAAAAGTCGACTTTTTAGTCAGAGGCAAAAATCGAAAAAAGCGACTTTTGCGCTCGACTACGTATCCCTAGTTTAGACCACGCCTTCTAAGTCGACACGATTGCTAAATCAAGATACAAAATCTAAGCTGTATAAACTAGCAATAAAATTATATTCATTCGAGTTGTGTGGCATGTGGCACCGTCTGTTTGAAGCCACATATTCTCCAATTCGCATTCTTCAATAGCAGATAAAAGAAGTGATTCATATTTTAGGTGCGAAAATAGTGTTGTATTTGAAATTATCTCGATGATTACGAGTAAATTGAGATATAGGGTGGATTTAATTTTAAATCGATGTAAATTAAGCTCGATTTAAATCGAAATAATGCACATTATCACGATAAAACCTATAATCTAAATGTGCTTGTAGTCCATCAGCTGATATAGAATAAACGCCAGGCCGTTATTACATTTTTGTATATAGCAGCTATGTATATGAAATTATCTCGATTTAGCATACGATTTCGCGTATATCAAGATATAGAGTTGTTTTCATTTAATATGGTAAATCGAGATTAATCCAGCTCGATTTAGCATCTAAATCGAGATCATCCACATTATCACGATAAAAAACATAATCTAAATGCTAAATGTAGTCCATCAGCTGATATAGAATAAACGCCTTACCGTTATTACATTTTGAATGTATTATAAAAATAACATACAATACTGTCTCATTAGAAAACTGGGAGCTGGTAGATATTTCTGTATTTTTATTGAAAAGTCAATCAATTTTTTTTATTATTTCAGTTGCCATAGTTTTTTTTTGCAACTTTTGAAATTTTAAACCGAAAACATTGTCAATTTGGTAATTTGTAGGTATTTTACGTATTTATGTGGTATTTTACGTACAAAGGCAGTGTTGTATTTGAAATTATTTCGATTTAGAATAATTCGATTTAGAAGAATACGATTTCGAGATAAAGAGGGGATCAGATAATGAGTGGATTTAATATGGAATGGTAAACCGTGATAAATTAAGCTCGAATTAAATCGAGATAATGCACATTATAAAGACAAAGGCTTTAGTATTGACAGCTTTTAGTTCATCAGCTGATATAGAATAAACGCCGGGGCGTTATTACACATTCGAATGTCTCATTGGAAAATTTCGCAGTTGGCGAAATTTTTTTATTTAAAAAAATTAAAAATAAAAGTAAAAAATAAAATTAATAGCATGACATCATGACCTAAACGGCTGGTCATTCAAAAAGTGAATTCATTTAAAAATACAATCCTTCAATATCAACACCTCAGTTCATCAGAGATTGGCATTCCTTTCAAATTTATCGAGTAAAAAGTGTATAAAGAGAAAACCATTTAGGTTTGTGTTCTCATAAATTTGGTTTTCGAGTAAAAAGTTGCAAAACTTGTAAAAGTAGTAAATTATTTGCTGTTTTTGATATTAGACATTTTTGGATAATAAGAAAATAAAATATTTATTTCAGTTTTTGGAACAAAACAAATGCCTAGGAATTATTTATAAGGATTGAAAAAAATCTCCCCCAAAACATTTCCTTTATCCTCTAAAGTTCTTTGTAAACATTTTTAGTACCATTTAAAGAAAAATTCCTTTTTCATCACTGGTTACAGGTGTCGTCATGACCGGACAGCGCATGTTCAAAAAATACTGGAAGAAGAAAAAACACTGGAAATCGAATGTAGCATAAACAAATAAGAGAAGAAAACCCCTCCACTGTTGATGGCGGGTGCATGTTCTGCTTTTGTTTTGTTGCTATTCTCTTTACTGTTGTTGTTGTTGTTTTAATTAAATCCCATGATTGTTTATTGAACGACATTTGTTTATTTTATAATGAATGAAATTTATACACAAAAATATTTAATCAAACCCCCCAAAAATAAATTGCTACACATTCACCACGTTCCTTGAATGTGTCAATCAGACAATGCGAATGTGCGAATTCAAATGAGTCGTTCATATGTTTTTATTATTTTATTTGAAATGTTGAAATAAAAATTCACTTATAAAAAAGTAAATAATTATTTATTATCTCATACACAATAAACAAAATTATTAAGTAGGGACTATTTTTTTATTTTATTATTTTTAAAATATTTTTGTTGTGGGAAGTAATATCCTTGGACTATATAATCAATATAATCATAATGATTTTAAAGAAATATTTTTGAACATACAAAAAAGCGTGATAAAGAAAAAAATAATTATTAGGTCCTGAGAAATTTTCTTTATTAAAAGATCAGTTTCTCAGGACTTGAGAAAAAATTATCCTTTTCTTATAAAAAACCAGTAACCACTTTGGGTATATTGTACATATGTATCCTTACACTTGCATGTCAATGTTCCTTTGAAGGAACGAACTCATGTCTTTCTGCAACCTGTGGTAAATTTAATTT